CCCCTAGGCCATACAATTTTTAAGTTCCATTATTTTTGTGGTCAGGGCAATATGTATGTAGTACTTTCCAGTTTGTTCTTACTGTTCTGCCCACAGAAAGGAAGTGTGGTACCCAAGAATCCAAGACTCATATAATATCATTTGATTTAAATATTCTTTAAAGTCAGCATAGCTTAATACCGGTATGTTTTGCACTTCTAAGCTCTTACGGATGAGTGCAGATCAATTATGAAGGTTGTTGTTGTTGTTAAAGGTTTCCATAACAAGAGAAGAGGATACACACACACACACACACACACGAAATGTACAATTTCATTTAAAATATTACATTTTTCTAAATTTTAACAACCACATAATACTCATATATTTTCTTCTTGGCAACATTATTTCTGAAAAGTCCTGTTGTACACTCTGCTAAATATGACACTAAAAATACTAAATATGTCCAATTAGGAAAAGGGAACTGCCTCAACCAAAGCCATGTTGACCCAGCATCATTTATGCCCAACTCTAGTATCAACTCCACGAATTGTTCCCAATCAGAGGCAGCAGCTTTCCCAGTTTTTCTAGTCACTGCATTCTTTTCCTATAGCACCATCTCAGAAAAGGCTTACTTTTCAGTAGCAGCTAGTGTGATGGGGCAAAGATGTGGGACTGCACTCCTCACGCAGGCATTGCTACAACTTACATGGACAGAACTGGGGCAGGGAGATGACAAGGACAGGGTTTAACAGATGCCCAAGCAGGCCTGCCAGATGAGCTCTGCTGGTGTGCCCCATCACTGCTTTTAAGCAAGTTAAAGAGACACTTTCCCTCTGCTTCGCTAGGGAAATATAGGTCTTTGTGGGTTCATCTGGTGGCATAAACACTTAATTAGTGAACTCAGAGAAGGCTGGGGAAAAGAGGGGCAGGGACCCAAGTCCAAAAATGGGAGAGTAACACCAACATATGCAGGTTCTTCATGAAGGTTTGGCTTCCCTACTCTCTCTAATGCCCCTGTACTTCTTGATTCTGGTAATATTTAATGGGATGGAGCAGCCTTGTTCCATCACATTAAACAGTAATGAAGTAAGTGGCTGGTAGAGGTTCTGGCAGCCGAATATTCAGCATGCCAAAACTATTTTCAACTGGATCTTTTGCTGCCATTATGCCTGGCTGATAAAGCTTTGCTCAGCCAGGAGACAATTCTCTTCTGGCCATGGAAAGCTTTCGTCAGCCAGGGAAGCTGGCACATCTTTTCTGCCATTGATTTTCATCCAAAGAGAATAATGCCAGCCTTGCCTTTGGAGCATGCTTTTTATGAGTTCCTAAAAGACTTCCCTAAACCTGGCTCAGGAAAACTTTGCAAGTGTCTCTGATTAAGACCATCCTCAAATGGCCCCCTATGGTCCCTTCACAACTGAAATTGAAGCAAGTACAGGACCTGTTCCATTGGAACACCATGACTCTCCCAAGAATTATAGAATCATAGAACTGTAGAGTTCCTTTCCTTTCAGAAGGAGGCAAAGATTTTTGCTTTTTAGTTTTTAATCCTGATTTTTAATTCTGAAAGCCTGTCTGCTTTGTTGTTTGATGTATTCCTCCCCCCATAAATGGCTCTGATGGTCTTAAATTCTCCCCAAACAATCCAACAGCAAACAAAATAACTGCATGACATACAGAATTTCATGTATAGCTTTCTTCCATCACTGCATCTTTGAACCAGACTTTTAAAAACCCCAAACCCTGCAACTGTTTCATTTCTGGTTTTTTTGTCTCGATTTTTGTGCAGCTCTACAGGAGTCCTGCCAGGTACAATGGTGGCAACTCTCTACCTCTGTAACTAACAGGTGATATGAGCTTATTTAACAGAGTAATCAACAAAGCTATGGGGAGCAAGGGCCCCAGAAAAGTGCTGCTGAAAAATGTTCAGATGCTAGAGTGAAAAGATCACTCATGTTGCTGCGTGGAATGTCACACTTTTTCTTCTTGGGAAGATCTGAAGATGGGGAAAGTTGGATTTAAAAGACTGGCTTAAACATTACAGCTGAGTAAAAACCCCAGCCTTTTAAAACAGGGCCTGCATTTGAATCCTTTCAACTACTTGTGAGAAAAGTCACACAGAGAACAATTGGAAAAGGCATTCAGATGTTTGGCTCCACTCTCTGCTTCTGAGCGCAGTCTTTCCTTGGATGTAAGTATAATGCAAATATTGCCAGCATGTGTTATCAAGAACAGGGATGAGAGAATCTGTCAATTGTGGTTTCTCTACGTTGCTCATTTTTCTAATCTTTTGTTCAGTTCTCCCCATTTCCATGTCAGCTGCCGTGAAAATTAATTAGTGCAAATTTCTCCAAATACACACATTTTTGCAAAGCTACTTCTCCAGATAGAATGCATTCTTGTATGTCATTTTCATGACTATATGTGTGTTTTTTTGCACACTTTACCCTCACATAGGCATTTTTGTAGACACTGTACAACCATTTCAAAGGATGGCTGTATTTCAGTTCATGCAATGTTTTGGAAATTAAGCAGGTTTACCTTTAAATGAGAACTGATCAAATCCTTCTCCCACGCTCAAGCCCTATCCGAGCGGAAAGAAGTTGAACTTCTATCGATACTCTCACAGGGAAAATATGAAGGGTTTTGTTTGTTTGCTTGTGGGTAACTATAGACTGGGGGAGATGACGGAAAAGCTGAAAGGAGAGTTCTCTATGGAAGTTAATGTATGCTTGATTTGTTTCTAGATTATTTCATTTAAAAAAACCCATTTACTGCATTAGAGCTATTTTTTTAAAAAAAGATTGTTCATTTGATTGATAGCTGTGCTTGTGTAATATACTTAAAATTTTGAAATGACTTGTGAACGTATGCAGATATAAGAAAGAGCCCCATCATAACAATATCAGGGACACTTACAAAATGGACAAAACCTTCTGGTACATATTTAAATGTTTTTAATGGGGTACATAGAAGAGCCCATTGGATCAGGCCAATGGCCATTCTAGTCCAGCATCCTGTTCTCATAGCGGCCACCCAGATTCCTATGGGAAATCTGCAAGCAGGACTCCAGCCCAAGAACGCTCTCCTGTCCTGCCGTTTCCAGCAATGGGCATGTGGAAGTTTCTAACTGTGGTGGCAGAGCCAAGTCAATCTCCAAATTGATGCAATGTTTTGAATGAGATTTAAAAGCTGATCTATACAAATGGCGATGGGATGCGGGTGGCGCTGTGGGTTAAACCACAGAGCCTAGGACTTGCCAATCAGAAGGTCGGTGGTTTGAATCCCCATGACGGGGTGAGCTCCCGTTGCTTGGTCCCTGCTCCTGCCAACCTACCATGTCAAAGTGCAAGTACTCCCACTCCAGCGGGAAGGTAAACGGCGTTTCCGTGAGCTGCTCTGGTTCACCAGAAGCGGCTTAGTCATGCTGGCCCAGAAGCTGTACTCAGGCTCCCTCGGCCAATAAAGCGAGATGAGTGCCGCAACCCCAGAGTCGGTCACGACTGGACCTAATGCTCAGGGGTCCCTTTACCTTTTTATACAAGCGGTGAACATTTCAGGTGTGTCCAATTGACGTGATTGCCGACACATGAGTTATTTTGGACTCGGAAGAGGGCAGAACGGGGTGGAATGGGGGAGGCTTATGCGCACACCCGACATGCACAGGGACTGGAAATGGAACCCCCTGCACAATATGGTCACCGCCTGTATTAGATTAATATCATTCAAACGTTCTATCAATGAAGAAAATGTTCCTTTGGATCCATAGAAATGTGTGCTTAGTAGGACCTTCTCCACCAGAAGCTCTTGGAGAAGGCTTCCTAGGAGATTGCAAAACATTGCTGGATGGGATAAAGCAGTGGGCTGAGAGGGAAAAGAGGAGTTATGAAAAAAAAAATGGCTGAGGGCAACCTCTGTTTTCTGATATTCTCTGCTCTCTCAGACCCCTGTGCCACAACTCATGGGGGAGGTTTTCTGCCAGGGAGGAGGGGTATTAAAGTCTGTTTCTTCCAGTTCCTTATGCATGGATTTCTCTGCATCCAACGCACTACATACTTGACAGTTAAATTTGCATAGGGCACAAATACTGACAGCAAGTTCAGTATGAAAATCCTATCATTTCATAAAGCATCTTCAATCCACAGGGTATCTCCCATATAATAAGCAAGCAATGCTTAATGGACTGAAAAACTGCTAATTCTAGCCACAAATATGCTATGATACAATTTTTTAAAAAAGAAAAGAGGAAAAAGTGAAACAGGAAAACACACAGCACAGCAATGCAGCACAATGAAGAAATAAATTCTAGAAAGAAGTGTCTCTAAGGAAGACTTAATACATCACAACAGACAAGAATTTGACTTTTGTGACAAAATGACTAATGCAATTCTTAATGCATAAACAGAGGAACTAGGGCAATAGGAGCTAGACATGATTTTTACACAACCAGGTAAGCTGAAATTAGAATAGCAACTTTGTCTATATTTTCTAAATTGACACAGAAACTTTTGGGGAGGATTTAAAAAGAGGTACAAGAAGGATTAAGAGAAAAACAAATCACAAAGAGGTACTCCATGTCTGGCCTGTTAAGCTTATCCATTTTCTTGATTGTACAGGAGAATTATGGCTACTAAAGGCTTGTTTCAGAAGAAGAAATTTAACACATACAGCTGGAGGACAGAAACACAACTTTCAAATAAGAGTGCTTAATATTGGGATTAGCTGGTTCTGTTATAAATTAGAAGGTTTCAAATAATTCCTCATAAAGTCACTCTGTCCCATAAAGAGAGGAAAGGGAGGTCACCAAATCAAATCTTTGCCAATGTTTGCCTCTGCCTGGACTAAATGAGTGGGAAACGTTTTCAGGCAAACAAGCATGACTTTATCGAAAGCATACTCCATTGTGGTAAGAACAGAATTATCATAAACCTTTCCAGTGCTATTCTTTCACTCTAGTGAAAATTTTAGTTATGAGTTCTATTGTGCCAAGGACAGGCCAGTCTTTTCCAGACACTTACCCTCTGACAGCATGAATAAGTCTCAGTGATGGATAGGCAGTTCGCACTTTCAATTTATTCTTAAGGATTAATGCATTAACCCACTCCACATGCTTCTCTCCGCCTTTGACCATGAAAGCAGGGATCCAAAGGACACTGTCATTCAGCATGGATAGCCTATGCACAAATTTCTCTCTGTCACTCTCATTCCGAAAGCCTCCAAATGCTCTTTGTACAACTGATGGGTTCATGGTAATAAAATCTGATTTAGTCCCCACATCGGCAGCATACTCCACCACGGGAGCTAGATTGCACCTGAAGAGGAAGAGATTAATGGAAAAAAATAAAATAATAAATATGAAACATTAACTCAGATAAAAAGGTGTGCGTGAAATAAAGGCTGAAAATGAACGTGCAAGGCTGTGGCATCCCACATGCTTTCACAAAGCACTGTGTGGCATCTAGCCATCTAAAAAATATTGGGTGAAATCCAGAAGCATCTTAAATCCCACTGAAATCAACAAGGACCTCTTACTTTATGATGCACTTAAGCAAAACGAAGAACAGCGTACCTGCTGAATGAATGGGCCACTGATTTAAAGTACGTTCCCTAGAAGATAAGCACCATTTCAATGAATGCAACGGACTTCTGAAGAATGTTTTATAGTTAGGCTGTAAGGAACTAACCAGTGCTCTTGAAATTAACAGAGTGTTCATTTACTCTAAAGGTATCACACTAGAGGAATTTGATTTCTCTGAATTCCAATGCAGACTAACCTGATCAACACCTCCCAGTCTAATGTGTAAATCATCACACAATTATCCTAGGAGTTTTGCACTTCTCCGAGTTTTGCAACACAGTTCTCGGCTTCAAAAAGTGTCAAAACGCGTTTAAAACCCACATTCCCCTGCAGATTCCATATATTAATTCAGAAATGGACAGAATGGGTTTATGGATGAGCACAGGCAGATCTGACACAGATTGGAATAGAAGGATTCATCCCTAACACACACTCTCTCTCTCACTCACTCACTCACTCACACTTACACCCTTTCGACAGTTGCCATCAGGATGCACTGATAAGAATGCTGTCATAAGACCCATCAAATTAATCATTCTGCGGCTGGTATTTCAAACTGTAATGCAGCCCTGCTCACATATTTATCTGTAAAAACATGTATATTTTTAAAAATGGTTGCCATGCTACTTAGTTGACATAAACTGACTGCTTATTATTTGAACATTGTAAAATGCTGTCAAATATTCCATAAAACCTCAAATGTCATTGTATAAGTGGTAGCTTTCTATTTTAAAATCCCAAATGTGTTGCCATTTGTAAGCAAAGGCAGGCGTGAGGGCATAGCAAACTTATTTTACTGGTCACCTAGTATAACTCTAGGCATCACTACATAGGAACAGGGGACGCAGGCTGACATCAGTGGCAAAGGCTACTGAGGGACTGACCTTATTGCTTCCTATAGGAAGTAGGGACAATAGCCTCTCCATATGATTTGGCTGTCTGTCCTGCAAGTCTCGTGCTAAGGATTGGATTCAGGTTTAGAAAAATCATTGCCATTTTAAAAAGCCATAGGTAACTGGGGTACATCTAGTCTTCTCAGGGCAATGTGTCCTGCCCATATTCCCCATGTCAGGCAGGATGGAGTTTGAATAAGAACTATTGCCTCCACAATGAATCATCTCAGACTGGGAGCTTCTACAGGATATGGAAGCTCCGCCCCTTCCCAGCTCTCAGCCAGCCCTGATCTGAGCAGGTGCTTCCTCAGTTTCTCAAGTAGTCTTGCATCCAGCTAGTCCATCCATGCTTGATGCAGCTCTGAAGTTCCTACCTGGTTCACCGTATCCTCTGCTCCTCTTCTGAGGAGACCTCAGGTTTGAGGCCTGGGAAGGGCTGAACCCTGACAGTTCTACAATGATGGTGGGAGCCACTAAAAGGGCTCTATCCCATGCCACCACCAACCACGCTTTCATCCTAGATGGGACACAGATAAGGGCCTCTCCATCTCATATTAGGGAAGTAGGTAGGTTGGTACAAGAGGAGGCAATCCTGGACTCACCATTGCTACTTTAATACAACTAAAGTACAACCCGCAAATCTCCTCATAGGTTTTCAGTAATTATAATAAAAAATACATGTCCACCAGTCATAAATGACTACCAGGCCACAGTTACCTAAATGCCAAGTATAAGCTGAAGAATACTGGAAGCATTAGATCATCACACCCAACCACCTACTGTAAATAAGATTACACCCTAATCTTTACTTTTCCCATCTAAATTAATGTCTCTTTTACTCAGAAGGTAGAAGGAAGAAAAGCTTTCCTTTGCATCTGCTCAAAATAATCTCTGGGCAGCTTTGTTATTTAAAATCTCAGTCGTTGTGATAATCTAGCCACCTCTCCTTCTATTTCAAAAAGCACTTCATCTTACAAAACACTCCTGTAAATATTTCAGCCATTTGCAGCATGGTCCATTCCACTATGAGCACATATCTGAAATAAGTGCCATTCTTCAGACTGCATATTGACTCAAGGAAGCAGGTGCATGACTATAAATATGAACAGCAAGAGTATCAGTGATTCATCACTTCCTGTGAAAGACTGCAATGCTACTGATACCTTTGTTGCAGAACCTTCCATTAATATGTTTATGGAAGGATTTAAAATGCAATCTGTGAGCAACCAGGAAACAATGGCAGCAAAAGAACTTTAGAAAGATTTCACTATTTTAGCTAACATCAGTGTTTCACAATGGGGAAATTAGTGATGCTTTTTTTAAAAAAAAATGCATTGCAACTAAATGAAACAGAAACAAAAATTGGGAGTTCCTGTAGCTACTATCAAACATAGTTAGAAAAAGGATAAGGGTTCTATGTTGCTGCTTCTCTCCAGAGCAGAAAATTTCAGTACATTTTAGATATTGGAGGGTTGGAGGCATATACATATTTTAAGTCCACTTCTGCAAGAACTCCTAATCAGGCGAAATAAGCAAAGCAAAGGGATGGAGAAGAAAAGCTGGATGATGTGAAGTCATCTTGAAAGAGTGTTAAGGCGGAATATGAAGAAGGTGGCAGACATTCAAACTACATAAACTGTGGGTGCTATGGAGATTCCAGCCTTTAGGGGGTGGGGGAGAAATACACAATGGCTGATTCCCCATCTCTGTATACTTATATACCATTCTCTTGACCTATCTCCAATGTTAGGCAAAACACACGGGTTACTTTGTAGGTATCAGGTAAGTGGGTATTTATAAGTTACCCACGGTCAGAGAAGAAGACTTTCCCATTATGATAAAGCCCTCTCCCCTAAAAAAAGTATAAGTACTTGTACAATGTTGTAACTTGTGCATAGATCTGTATCAGAGAACATTATACAGAGATGCGCTTTTTGGAAGCATCTGTCTGGCCAATGTAACATACCGTATTTTTTGCTCTATAAGACTCACTTTTTCCCTCCTAAAAAGTATGGGGAAATGTGTGTGCGTCTTATGGAGCGAATGCAGGCTGCACAGCTATCCCAGAAGCCAGAACAGCAAGGGGGATCGCTGCTTTTCCTGTGCAGCGATCCCTCTTGTTGTTCTGGCTTCTGAGATTTGGAATATTTTTTTCCTTGTTTTCCTCCTCCAAAAACTAGGTGCGTCTTATGGTCTGGTGCGTCTTTTAAGCCACAGCTCATAGAACCACTTTCCACCCTCCAACACTTTCCCTGCTTTTCTTCATATATATATATATCATTGCACAAATTTGCCTCTATACCATTCTTCAGAAGCAGAGAGCTCTTTTCAAGGTTTTCCATGTCCAGCTATTTCATGAGTTACACTTTTCCAGCATACCCTCCCGGGCAGTGGCGTAGTGTGGGGGGTGCAGGGGGGGCCAGCCGCACCGGGCGCAACATCTGGGGGTTAGGGTTAGGGGGCGCAAATCCACGGGTTAGGGGGCGCAAATCCACGGGTTAGGGAGTGCAAATTACTTGCCTTGCCCCGGGTGCTGACAACCCACGCTACGCCACTGCTCCCGGGTTTTGTTCTTCCATACAAAGCCTGTGGTACATATGCGCGTATTGCTGTGTTAAAAGTGATGAGGTTAACTAAAAACAGACACTAAACCCATTTGCTATTTTACTGGTCTTAGCCTTACCAAGGAATACTTATGGGCCAGACCAATACAGAACTTAAACTTCAAAGTTTCAAGTGCCCAGGCACTGACCCTTAGGATACAAACGGACATTTTATTTAACAGTTCATGCATGCAGCAAATCATAAAATGTGTCATCTCTTAAGTTTTGAAGCAGGCCATGAAAAAAACAACAGTTATCATGAGAGATCAAGAAATGGCTGCAAAAAAGATATGAATCGGAACACCCTATTCAGCTGTGTCCAGGGCAGCTGTTTATCAGCTCCATCTGGTATGCAGGCTGAGACCCTACAGACTGTCTCGCCATAGTGGTGCATGCTCTAGTTATCTCCCGCTTGGACTACTGCAATGCTCTATGTGGGGCTACCTTTGAAGGTAACCTGAAAACTACAACTAATCCAGAATGCGACAGCTAGACTGGTGACAGGGAGCGGCCGCCGAGACCATATAACACCGGTCTTGAAAGACCTACACTGGCTCCCAGTATGTTTCCAAGCACAATTCAGAGTGTTGGTGCTGACCTTTAAAGCCCTTGGTCCGGTATACCTGAAGGAGCGTCTCCACCTCCATCATTCTGCCCGGACACTGAGGTCCAGCGCCAAGGGCCTTCTGGCAGTTCCCTCGCTACGAGAAGCCAAGTTACAGGGAACCAGGCAGAGGGCCTTCTTGGTAGTGGCAACTGCCCTGTGGAACGCCCTCCCACCAGATGTCAAAGAGAAAAATAACTACCAAACTTTTAGAAGACATCTGAAGGCAGCCCTGTTTAGGGATGCTTTTAATGTTTAATAGGTTATTGTATTTTAGTGTTCTGTTGGAAGCTGCCCAGAGTGGCTGGGGAAACCCAGCCAGATGAGCGGGGTATAAATAACAAATTGTTATTATTATTACCCTACAGATAAGGAACCCAGGACTCCCATGACTGCTGACTATTAAGCTATGCTATATGAGGCTGATGGGCTCCAACAACATCTGGAGGGCCACAGGTTCTACATCTCTGAGCTAACCTTACTAGGACTGTAAGTGCATGCTGCTTGCCTAATGTATAGATCAGGCTTCCTCAACCTTGGCCCTCCAGATGTTTTGAGACGACAATTCCCAGCATCCCTGACCGCTGGTCCTGCTAGCTAGGGATCATGGGAGTTGTAGGCCAAAAACATCTGG